CCTCTCTCTCTCTCTCTCTCTCTCTCTCTCTCTCTCTCTCTCTCTCTCTCTCTCTCTCTCTCTCCTCTCTCTCCTCTCTCTCTCTCTCTCTCTCTCTCCTCTCTCTCTTCCTTTCCTCCCCTCCCCAAAACTCTCCCTATCCTTCTCTCCTCTCTTCCCACTCCCTCTCCTTCTCTCCTCTCTTTCTATTTCTCCCTCTCCCCTTTCCTTCGTCCTTCTCTTCCTCTCTCCCTCCCTTCCGATCTCTTCTCCCTGTTTCCTTCCCTCCTCTTCCTTTAACCCTCCCTCCTTTCCTCTCCCTCCCTCTCCTCTTCTCTCGTATCTCTCGCTCCCTCTCCCCCTTCCTTCGTCCATATCTCGCTCTCTCCCTCCCTTCCGATCTCCTTTCCCTTTAACCCTCCTTCCTCTTTCCTCTCCCTCTCTCTATTCTTCTCTCCTATCCCTCCCTCCCTCCTTCTCCCCCTTCCTTGTCCTTCTCTCCCTCCCTTGCTATCTCCTCTCCGTTTAACCCTCCCTCCCCTTTCCTCTCCCTCTCTCTCTCTTCTCTCCTATCCCTCTCTCCCTCCCTCCTTCTCCCCCTTCCTTCGTCCTTCTCTCCTTCTCTCCCTCCCTATTTCCTCTCCCTTTAACCTTCCCACCTTCTTTCCTCTCCCTCTCCCTCTTCTTCTCTCCTATCCCTCCCTCCCTCCTTCTTCCCCTTCCTTATCCTTCTTGCTTCTCCGCACAACACAACAAAACGTTACGCTACACACTACACGAATTATGTTTTCTTTTTTTTTTAATATTCATTCTCTTTTTTTTTTTCTTTACGAGTCAAGTTCATTTCGAATGCAGATTACCCAGGAATGTCAAGGTTTCCGAGCTAAAACTGACGGAATCGGACGCCTTCGAACGAAAACAGTCGCCTGAGTCGCTTTGTTTAAAGGTTCGATTCCCTTGTTTTCGATTGTCATTTGGAATCGGCTTTGGTTGCGTGGAATCGAATTCTCAGATTTTTTGTGTGCATCGCTGTGCGTGTAAAAGTATCTAGTCGTATATATACATATACACATACATATACCTAAACATTTACATACATCAGCATCTATGCACAATCTATCTATCTATCATCCATCTATCTATATGTCTATGTATGTATGTATCTATCTATCTATATATAATGTGTGTGTGTGTGTGTGTGTGTGTGTGTGTGTGTGTGTGTGTGTGTGTGTGTGTGTGTGTGTGTGTGTGTGTGTGTGTGTGTGTGTGTGTGTGTGTATGTGCGTGCGTGTAAAAAACGAGCGTGCTTGTGTTTGCCCGTGAACGAGTCAAAAATAAGTCAAGACAGCGAGCAGAGACAGTTGAGGATCCCGAAGAGGAGGTCGTCGCGTTTCTCACATCAAACGTCGACTGGGAAATGGGATCAAAGGGAGAGGAAATGGCGGGCGGAATTGCTGACGAAATCACTCCTTTTTTTATGCTCTTTGTCGCTTTTACATTTTTTCAGCGTCATCGTCTTTATCTTTATTTTTTTTACATTTCAAACCATCATCTTTATCATCACTATCTTATTATCTTTATCTTTATCTTCATCTTCATCTTCATCTTCATCTTCATCTTCATCTTCATCTTCATCTTCATCTTCATCTTCATCTTAATCTTAATCTTAATCTTAATCTTAATCTTAATCTTCATCTTCATCTTCATCTTCATCTTCATCTCTCATCATCTTCATCTTCATCTTCATCAATCTTCATCATCATCATCATCATCATCATCATCACCATCATCATCATCATCATCATCATCATCACCACCACCATCATCATCATCATCAACACCATCCATCACACCAATATCACACACACACACACACACACACACACACACACACACACACACACACACACACACACACACACACACACACACACACACACACACACACACACACACACACACACACCGCTCTCTTAGAGGCATGAATTATACAATTTACAATTTATAAGATTTTGAAAAAAATAAAAACAACAAATAAAGGCAGAGAAATTGAGAAGGAAGTGATGGTGCTAAAACTTTTTACTTTTATTATTTTATTAACAATCTCTTTGGTGCTATTAAAAATGTTAACATATGCTGGATATCCAATTAAATAGTTCTGAAGCTTTAATTATTCCCTCAAGAAGTTCATTAGACCATACGTACATTCTTTTAAGAAGTTTAGTTTAGAAAGTTTTCGTATTTTTCATTTTCCTTTTTTTTTTTCTTCTTCTTTCTTCTCTCTCTCTCTCTCTCTCTCTCTCTCTCTCTCTCTCTCTCTCTCTCTCTCTCTCTCTCTCTCTCTCTCTCTCTCTCTCTCTCTCTCCAACTCCCTCCTCCCTTCTCTCTCTCCTCTCTCTCTCTCTCTCTCTCTCTCTCTCTCTCTCTCTCTCTCTCTCTCTCTCTCTCTCTCTCTCTCTCTCTCTCTCTCTCTCTCTCCCTCTCTCCCTCCCTCCCATTCTCTCTCTCTCTCCAACTCTCCTCCCTATTTCTATCTCCCTCCCCCTCCCCTCCCTCCCATCTCTCTCTCTCTCTCCAACACCCCCTCACTCTCTCTCCAACTGCCTCCCTCCCATTCTCTCCCTCTCTTTCTCCAACACCCCTTCTCTCTCTCTCTCTCTCTTCTCTCTTCTTCTCAACTCCCTCCCTCCCACTCTCTCTCCCTCTCTCCAACTCCCTCTCTCTCTCTCTCTCTCCAACTCCCTCCCATTTCTCTCTCCCTTTCTCTCTTCTCTCTCTCTCTCCAACTCCCCTCCCATCTCTCATTCTCTCTCTCCAACACCCTCTCTCTCTCTCTCTCTCCAACACCCTCTCTCCCTCTCTCTCTCTCTCTCCCTCACTTCCTCGCGTACTCCATCTTGTAACTCGATCAAGCCAGGAAAAGTGCTTATATCCGTGTTGTGTTTCCGATTTCTTCCTAACATTTTCAAAAGGTCTGGGATTAGTTTCCCTGTCACTCTTCGGCAGCGAACTTTTTAAATCCAGTTTGTGTAAAAGAGTTCCCGGCTTTGGTACACGTTGGGTTTGGCAAGTTTGTAGGTCGGATTTTCATTTTTAAAGATCTAGTTTTGTTTGTCTGTTTGTTTGATTACGTGTTTATTTATTCATGTATATCTTTTATTTGTATGTGTATTTATTTATAGGTTTGTTGATTTGTATATTCATTTGTTTTATTTTCTCCATGAATGTTAATTATATTTAAAAACGGAAGGTTGTCAATGGTTTAGCATTATCATTTACAATATTGTTCAAAAATAGGGCATTTACTGTATGATAATGTATACTGTATCAGTCATTTCATTGTGAGGGTGATTGTAATGACAACAGTATGTCAGTTTTGATAACATATCCCCAAACACCGCCTTAAAGAAAATAAAAAGAAAATGAAAGAGTTGAAAAAGACACCTTAGGTCAACAGTGTTTCATGGAAAAGGGTCATGTAGTCTTTTTTCACAGATTCCGTAAACAAGTTTTCAATCCTCTTCCTCCTCCCTTCCACCATCATCGCCATCTCCTCCTCCTCCTCCTTTATCTTCTCTCTTTTTTTTTCTCTTCTTTCTTCCTCCTTCTTCTTTTCCTTCCCTTCCTCTTTTTTTCTTCTTTTCCCTCCTCCATCCTTTTCCTCTCCTTCTCCTCCTCCTTCCTCCTCTCTTCTTCTTTCTTCTTCTTCTTCTTCTTCTTCTTCTTCTTCTTCTTCTTCTTCTTCTTCTTTCTTCTTCTTCTTCTTCCTCCTCCTCCTCCTCCTCCTCCTCCCCCCCCACCCCATTTCCCTTTCTGAGATCTATTTTCCTCTTTGTTTTTTATGTATATTTCGTTATCTATAGAGTATTTTTCCTCCTTTTTTCCTCGCTTTTATTCTTACAATTTTCTTCCTTATTAACTCTTCACTTTCTCGACCCCCCTCCCCCCCTCCCCCTCCCCCTCCCCTCTTCCCCCATCCTTTGGCAGTTTCGTCCGTTTTTTTTTTTTTTTTTCTGAAATATGAATAATTTCTTTTTGAATATCAACTTCAAATAACCCTTTAATACTCCCCCCTCCCCCCCCCTTCCCCCGTCTTATTCCAAAGGCCAGTCCATTTTTTTTGTTTGTTTGTTTTCTGAAACATAATTAAATTCCTCTTGAATACTAATTTTGATTCGCTGACGTCTTTCAACAACCTCCCCCCCCCCCCTCCTTCTCCCGTCTGCAGCTGTCTCAAAATTTACGATTTAAAGTCAGATTTTTTTTTTCCCTGGACGATCTTCCATTCTTTTCGTAGGTCTATATTTATTTTATCTTTTTAATCTTGAAAAAGATCCTCTCAAAAAGGGGATATATTACTCATTAATATCAAGCGAATTTCTCCTTCCCTTCCCTCTAATAAAAAAAAAAAAATGCTTATTTTTTTCAACTTCCTAAAAACAGTCCATTCAGTCCCTAAAATAATCCTCTTTACTCCCCCATAAAATCCTTACGCCCCTCCCCCCTAAAAAACTTCCCCCTTACAGCCCCCCCTAAAAAAAAAAAAAATCCATCTTAATATCAATTTCCCCGTTGCTCCTGCAGGTGTATGTAGGGGATGTAGGGGTTCAGCCCGTCCTTCCGCCCCACCCCCCACCTAAAAGTCCTCTCTACCCTCCCCTCAGAAAATTCATCCCACCTCCCTTAAAAAAAAAAAAAAAAAAAAAAAAAATTATACATATACATATTTATATGTATGTATGTATGTATGTATGTTATATTATATATATATATATATATATATATATATATATTATATATATATATATAGATATAAGAGAGAGAGAGAGAGAGAGAGAGAGAGAGAGAGAGAGAGAAAGAGAAGAAAAAAAAAAGAAAGAAGAGAAAGAGAAAGGGAAAGAGAAAGAAGAGAAAGAGAAGAGAAAGGAGAAGGAGAAGGAGAAGGAGAAGGAGAAGAGAAAAGAGAGAGGAGAAAAGAAACACCGATTAAACAACCTAATAACGACCCCGCTCCCCCGCAGGTCTGTGATGGGGTTCAGCGCGTCCCTCCAGGGGGAGCAGAGCCACGCGGCGCTCTTGGCCCGCCAGGACGCCGAGCTCCGGCTGCTGGACACGATGCGCCGCGTGCTCGTAGCCAGAGCCAAGTGCGATCGGGACTACGCGGCGGCGCTCACCCAGCTGGCGCACACGGCGGCCAAGATGGATGCGTCCGATAACGTGCTCGACGACTCCGATTTGCATAAGGTGAGGGAGTTTGATGTGGTGGTCGTGTTTTGGGGCTTCGTTTGTTATTTGTTTTTATTTGTTTTTATTTGTTGTATGTTTGCTGCCCTTTGTTTGGCTTGTTTGTCTGTCTGTTTATATTTCCCTTCCGTTTGCCTGATTCTTTCTATCCTGATCTGTGTGTGTGTGTGTGTGTGTGTGTGGTGTGTGTGCGTGCTGCGCTGCGCTTTAGTGTGGCGTCGTGCGTTGCGTGCGCTCATCAACCGGCGCGGGCGCCGCTTTAGTGTAGATCTCGTTGACTGTGTGCCTATGTGTGTCTCCACTCGTTAACCGCTATTACACATAACCAGTAGTGTGTGTATGTGGCTGTGCTGTGTGCATGTGCTGTCGTGCTGGTAGCGCTGCGCGCCTGCGCCTTAGTGTGGTCCGACTGCCGTGCTGTGGCCCTTGCGCCGCGCATTTAGTCTTTGCTATCTGCTGTGTGTATGTGTGTGATGGTGTGTCTATGTGTGGACCGGAATGCATGCTGTTATGGCTGGTGTGTGGTGTGTCCTGTTGATGCTGTTAGGTGCTGTTGATTGTGGATTTGTGTGTGTGTGTGTGTGTCTTCAGTCTATGTGTGTGTGCTGTGTGTGTTGTGGGTCAATGTGCTGTGTGCGTGTGTGTGTGTGTGCTACGTGCCTATGTGCGTGTGTGTGTTGTGTGTGTGCTGCTGCTGTGTGTGCTGTGGAGTTCTGCTGTGCTGTGTGTGTGTGTGTATGCTGGTGTGTATGTGTGTGTGTGGGGCTGTGTGCGTCCGTGCGTGCTGCGCTGCCTGTGATGCGCCCGCGCCGCTTCTAGTGAAACTGTGTGTGCTGTGTGTACGCTGCTGTGTACGTGTATGTGCGTGTATGTAGTGTGTGTGCTGTTGTGTGCTGTGTGCTGTGTAGTGCATGTATGTGTGTGTGTGTGTATGTGCGTTACGTGTTTGTGCTGTGTGTATGTGTGTCGCTGTGTGTGTGCTGTGTTTGCTGTGTGTGTGCTTGTATTTTATTGTGCTGTGGTCATGTGAAATGTGTGCTGCATGTGCTTGTGCTGTGGCTTGTCTATGTGGTGTGTGTGTGCGCTGTGGTGCTGCTCGTGCGAGTGCTCTATGCTACAAGTTATGCATGTGTGGGTGTGTGTACGTGTATAGTGTCCGTAGTGTGAATATATATGTGTGCTGTGTGTTTGTGTTGTGTTGTGCATTGGGTTGTGTGTGTGTGACTCTGTGTGTGTGGTGCGTGTGTGTGGTGTGTGCTCGTGCTGCGTCATGGACACAAACTTGCGTAAGTGCATTGCGTGCACCACGTGAGGCCAGCGCGCTTTAGTATACGCTGTCTCTGCTGTGTAGTGTGTGCAATACGTAGTATAGCTCGCGTCGTGGCTTGTGTGTTGCTGTGTGCTGTGTGCTGTGTGTGTGTAGCTGGTTGTGTGTGTTGTGTGATGTGTGCGTCCGTTGCGTCCTTGCGATGCCGAGTTGAGTGCGCGCGCCGCCTTTAGTGTAGGTGTTGTGTGTTGTGTGTGTGTGTATTGTGACGTGCTATATGTGCAGATTGCGTGTGTGAGTGTGTGTGTGTGAATCTGTGTGTGTGTATGTCGTGTGGTGTGATGTATGTGTGTGTGATGTGTGTTAGTGTGCTTGCTGTGTGCTCTGTGTGTGTGTGTGCTGTTTTGTGACTGTGTTGTGCTTTAGAAAATGTGTGCTCGCTCGTGTGTGCGTAGTGGTGCTGTAGACTTGTGTTGTACGTGTATGTGAACGTAGTGTGTGTGTGTTGTGTGAGCTTGCTGTGTGTGCCTATGTGTGGACTTTGTGTGTGTGTGGTGTGTGTGTGTGTGCTGTAGATTGTGTGTGTTGAAATGTTGTGGGCGTGTTCGTCTGCAGTGCCGTGCGAGAGCGCGCGCGCTTTAGTCGCTGCGTGTATGTCGTAGTGTGCGCGCGCGCGCGCGCTGCGCGTGTGTGTGTGTGTGTGTGTGTGGTGTGTGGTGGTTGTGTGTGTGTGTACATGCATATATACTCACACCTATTTGTTCCAACCTCTATCTACACTGTTTATTTCTTTAACTTCCATTTCAGTTTTCCATCCATCCCCTCCATTCACCCCTACTCCCCCCCCCTCTCTCTCTCCTTCTCCTCTCCTCTCCTCTCTCTTCTCTCCCCCTCTCTACTCTTTTTTCCCCCCCCCCCTCTCTTCTCTCTCTCTCCACGTCCCATATTTATCAACGTATCACACACACCATTCATCTCCAAAAGACAAATTAGATTTAATTCCCCATATATAAATCCCCCCCCCCCCGCATCCCCGAATGAGTGACAATGAACATACATAAAAACAAACGAAGTATTTAGGGGGACAAACGGCTTCTCTGTTTTACTAATGTTTAACCTAAGCCTTTCAGCGCATTCCGTTTTCTGTTTGCTCTTTTTGAATAGTCGTATAACACGCCATCACAGATACTTACATGTGTGCTTACATGATAGATATGTGCGTGCATGCATGTATAGATCTGTGTGCTGCAATATGTGTATATATTGTGCTGTGCATACATGTATACAGACATACGTGCGTGCATACTTGCATATATCCATCCATCCATCCATCGCATCCACCTTCCTCCCTCCTCCCTCCCTCCTCCCTTCCTCCCCTCGCCTCCGCTCCACCCACCACCTACCTTCCCTCCCTATCCCCCTCCATCCATTCCGTCAGCGTCGTCCGTCCGTCCGTCCTTCTCGTCTCCCTCTCCCTCCCTCCCTCCCTCCCTCCCTCCCTCCCTCCCTCCTCCCTATCCACCCACCCACCTACCTTCCCTCCCTATCCCCCTCCATCCATCCGTCCGTCGTCCGTCCGTCCGTCCGTCCGTCCCTTCCTCCTCCTCTCCTCCCTCCCTCCCTCCCTCCACCCACCCACCTACCTTCCCTCCTATCCTCCTTCCATCCGTCCTCCGTCCGTTCCGTCCGTGCCGTCCCTCCGTCCTCCTCCCCTTCCTCCACCCACCCACCTACCTTCCCTCCCTATCCCCCTCCATCCATCCGTCCGTCCGTCCGTCCGTCCCTCCTCCCTCCCTCCCCCCTCCCTCCCTCCCTCCCTCCCTCCCTCCCTCCCTCCACCCACCCACCTACCTTCCTTCCCCATCCCCCTCCATCCGTCCGTCCGTTCCGTCCGTCCGTCCGTCCGTCCGTCCGTCCCTCCCTCCCTCCCTCCCTCCCTCCCTCCCTCCCTCCACCCACCACCACCTACCATCCCTCCCTATCCCCCATCCGTCCGTCCTCCGTCCGTCCGTCCGTCCGTCCGTCCGTCCGTCCCTCCCTCCCCTCCCTCCCTCCTCCCTCCCTCCCTCCCACCCACCCACCTACCTTCCTTCCCCATCCCCCTCCATTCCATCCGTCGTCCGTCCGTCCGTCCGTCCGTCCGTCCCTCCCTCCCTCCCTCCCTCCTCCCTCCCTCCCTCCACCACACCCACCTACCTTCCCTCCCTATCCCCCTCCATCCATCGTCCGTCCGTCCGTCCGTCCCTCCCTCCCTCCCTCCCCTCCCTCCCTCCCTCCCTCCACCCACCACCTACCTTCCTTCCCCATCCCCCCATCCACCGTCCGTCCGTCCGTCCGTCCGTCCGTCGTCCGTCCTCCCTCCCTCCCTCCTCCCTCCTCCTCCACCCACCCACCTACCTTCCCCTCCTATCCCCTCCATCCATCCGTCCGCCGTCCTCCCCTCCCTCGCCTCCCTCCACCCCCCCCTCCCTCTACCTTCCCTCCCATCCCCTCCATCCATCCCCGTCCCGTCCCTCCCTCCTCCCCTCCCTCCCTCCCTCCACCCACCCACCTACCTTCCCCTCCCTATCCCCCTCCCATCCACGCCTCCCTCCCTCCCTCCCTCCCTCCCTCCCTCCCTTCCCCTCCCTCCCTCCCTCCTACCCAACCTCACCCACCCACACCCATCCCTCCACCCACCACCTACCTTCCCTCCCCTATCCCTCTCTCTCTCTATCTCCTCTTCCCGAAATTCTTTCATTTGCAGTTTATCGGACGCAGAAAGGGGAACCGGGCACTTGAGTTAAAGGGAAACCGAGCTCGTTCGTGTAAGGGGAAACCGGGCTCTTGTTTGGGAGCTGGAGCAAGGTCTATATAAGTTCTTATATAGACCTTGAGCTGGGAGATGCCTATGAACGACCGTTTTCTATATTGATTGTTTTTTTTCTTTTTTATTGTTTTTTTTATTCGATTTTTCTTCTCTCTCTCTTATTTTTATTTATTCTATCTCTTATTTCTTTACCTTTTTCTCCCAGATGAGATTTCTATTATCAACTTTTTTTCTTCGTTTTTTTTTATTTTTTTTTTTTATTATTATTTTTTTGAGCATCTTTTAGTAATGGCGCCTCTGTGTTGAGTGATTGAGATATTTTGCATAATCACGTTTGTATTTTATCTCTTTTTTGTGTTTCTGTTCTGTGTATTTTCATCTTTTGTTATTTTTTGGATGTTATTCATATTTTTTATTTATTTATTTGTATTTGTATTTATATTTTACTTACTGTTTATCTTTATTTTTATTCGCCCAACCGTTCTTCCCTCTTTGTTTTATCCAATTATTATTCGCCATCCTCTTCGCCCCTTATTTCTCCTTCACTAATTCTTCTTCTGTTTATCTCCATTTTTTAAGTTCCTTCCGTCTCCTCTCGTTCGTTTTCTGCTTCCAATTTTCTCATCCCTTCTCTTTTTATGGCTTATTCCCTCTTTCAGTCTCCTCGTTCTTTGTTTTGGTTCCTTCTCTCTCTTTCGGAGTTCTTGATTTTTACTCCCTTCCTCTTTTACTCGTTTCGTTCCTTCTCGCCTCTCTGGTTCTTTTTCATTATTCCTTTCTTTATGTTCTTTCTCCTTTTCTTCCTTTTTCCTTTTATCTATCCATCCCTCCCTCCGTCCATTCTTCAAACTTTACTAATTTTCTTCCTCTCTTGCTTTATCTTAATTCTCTGTCTTTCACCGGCTCCCGTTTCTCCTGCTTATTTCCTTCTCCCCTCTCCTCTTCCACATTCTTCCACATCTTCTCATCCTTGTTATTTCTCCACTGCCTCTTCCTCTCTCCCTCCTCCCCCCTTTTCTCTTATCTCATATCCATTATTCTGTCATCCATCACGATTTTCCTTCTCCTCCTCCTCCTCAAAAAAAAGTCATTCACCTAACCTTCAATAATAATTTTCTTCATCTGTCTTCTACCTCCTCTTTCTATACATACATACTCCGCTTCACTACAATATATTCTTATTATTCTTGTTCTCAGCTTTCTTCACACAGTTGTAAATTCATTGCTCATAATTCTGCAAGATTTTTTTGTTTGTATTTTATTACTATTTTTTTCTTCTTCCTCGGAGCATCTTAAATTACAATGTAAATTTTACATGTAAATGGAGACGTAGTTTTCAACGTATATGGTTATGTTGAGGAATGTTGTTTCATTCAGTCCTGTATTATTATTAATGTTTTGTTTTCCATGTGTGGTTATTTTGCATGATGTGTATATTTCAAGGGTAATCTTAATGATAGATACTTGCATTTCCGCATTGCGCTTTTGTACGGAATATGAATACTTATATACGTACTCAAGCAGACAGATGTGTTTAAACATACACTGTTCTATATGTTTCCACACGCACGCACACACACACGCACACAAACCCTCATCTACACCCACACCGACATCACACACACGCAACGCACACACACACACACACACGCACAGCAAACGCGAACACGCACGCACGCACGCGCACGCGCGCGCACACACACACACACACACACACACACACACACACACACACACACACACACACACACACACACACACACACACACACACACACACACACACACACACACACACACAATAAACAAATAAATAAATGAATGAATAAAAAAAGACAAACCCAAAAAACTCACCATTTCAACCCCTCTTCCCTCCCCCCCTACCTTACAGGCATGGCACATAATGGAAGTCTAGACGAATGGAGCAACATCATGAGGCAGAATGCAGACACCCTCGTCATAGACACGGTGGAGAAACTGGCTGCCCTCATCACCGAAAAGCGAGCGTCGAGAAAGGTTTACCACGAGGAGCACCAGAGGATTACTAATGAAGTCTCGAGGGTGAGAAGTTTTCCCTTTTTTTTAGGGTGGGGGGGGGGAGAGTGTAAGGTTTAGGGGTCGGGGTTCGGGTAGTTAGAGGGTGTTTGAGAATATTTTGGAGATAGTTTGTATTTTTTTTTCTTATTTTTTTATTTATATTTAGTAGTTTGTAAGTGCCGGATTAGTGGATTCGCAGAACGAGGGAAGCTTCGGTAAATAAAACGGCAAAAGAAAATGGACAAAGTCATAAAATATCAGTAAATCCTAAATAATATAACAGTCAATCAAGTTTACCTCAACTACAGAACCATTAATAATGCCACAGCAGGACAAGTGGCAGTTAAATGAATGGTAGACTCACTGCCACTTCCTGGAAATATCGGAGTTGCAAAGTAGCGAATGCCGGATTATCGAGGTTCATCCAGTAATTATTGCTGATGACTGTAAAACGGGTTAAAGTCAGTGAGTTAGATTTGGGTATGATTTTATTAGGGTTGATGAGTTAGTAATAGGAATTGGTATAAAGAAACGAAATTCCAAACAGATATTGGATTGATTTTATGAAGATGATTAGCCAGATCATTATCCCGCAACTATATATAATAAAAGACCAGAATTAAAATTTTGTTGAGTTTGAATTGTGTTTTAAGAGCGGCTTTAAATATGCATTATAGTAGCATATACAATTGAATATGTTTTTTCTTTCTCAGTATTTACATAATTGAATATGATTTTTTATAACTAAGAAGTATGATGGTTTACTCCAAAGACTTTTCCAGGCTAAGTTATACATACCATATAGTTTAAATATCTGAATTGTTTCATGTATTTTCTTTTTTAGCTTCTAAAGAATTTGTGAGACCTTGTGGGTCAGGAGTCATATTGTAGGGACTAAGGCAACCTAAATTTGATGTAGTATTCTCACTGAATTGAAAAGTTTATGTAAAGTATTTGTTCATTTGATGCTCTTCTTGTTGTATATGCATTCACGATAAACGTCTTCATGTTGTTACTCTCATTTCAGTTACAAGAAGCAGTCAACAAGTCAAAAAATAATTATGAACAAGCGCTTGAACACTACAAGAGCTCAAAAACCAAATATGAAGATCAATATCTAAAAGGTAAGATTTCCTTCCTCTTCGGAGATCACTTTGGCTTTTACTTTTGTCATTTTCCAGGCCTTAGAGTATATTTTCAAATAGATTTTAAAAATTGCAGAAGGGTTTTAGCCTTTATATAAATAATTGAATATGAAGCCATGAAAAACATATTACATTATTTAGAAAAAGGACGATGAATAAACCAAAATATCAAATTCCTAAAACACCCTCTCTTCCTAATTATTCATCATGTCAGACAAGTCAGTCAGAATTACCTTACTTACACGCCCCTTCCACAGGCAAACCGGGTCGCAAACTGGATGAACTCAAGGAGAGATATCAAAAAGCGTGCAAGAAACTTCACCAAGTCCACAACGACTATGTCCTCCTGCTCTGTGAAGCTGCAGACTACGAGAGGGACTTTCGGACAGTGCTGTTGCCTGGTCTGCTTGAGTACCAGGAAAGAGTACAGGAAGATATGATTGATAAATGGTGAATATTAATTTTAAAAAGTAGATGTAGATATTAAAATAAACTTCATTGAAAATTGCTTAAAACAGAAAGAAAAACATTAAAAAATCATGAGTTTTTATTTTGTGAGGTAAGATATACCTGGTCTACTAAGAACAGTTTAAAAAGAGAAAAAATGTTAATCATATCTGTTATGGAAGCTATTATGAATTATGAATTATAGGAAAAAAGACCTCTTAAGGGATAAGTAAGGGAGAGAGAACATATTAAGAATTGCAGAGAAGGAAAATTAATTTATTAGGAGTTGAGAAATGGAAATATGATGATTAAGAGCCTATAAGAATAAAAACAATCTATCAAAGATATCTATTCATCCAGTTTTCCTTAAGTTGTTCCTTCTCCAACAGGAAAAGATACTGAAAATACCCTTTTTATTATTTCAGGCGATCACTATTATCAGAGGTGTGTGAACTAACAGACACAACCCAAGGCCGATACGCGCAGCTCCAGGCAGAAGTGGCATCGGCAGTTTCAGCAATATCCCCCAAGACAGAATATTCCAGTTTTTCGGAGACTAACAAGTAAGTTGTATTTTCTGTCTTTTTATTGAGTTTTTGGCCAGTCATTTATAGTTAAAAAAGTTATAGTTTTAATTGGATTTTGACTGAAGAAGCATATATTGTTTATGCTCTAGTGATAGATGCAAACCATTTATATTGTTTTTACTTTTTTGCATGTCTTTTTTAAAAATAGGATATTGCTGTAGTGAGTTTAAATTTGGATGAAACTTGAATTGCATATACATAGTATCTGCATAGAATAAATGTCATATACAGGGTGCTGTTATAAGACTTATTTTATGGACAGAGAGGGAGAAAATTTTATTGACTTCTTAAGAGGGAGTTCCGTTGATTCATATCATTATTATATTGTTTCTTTATCAGTTTCTTCTGATTCATCCTCTTCCCTTTCCTTTTTTCAACCTCTTTCTCTACCTCTCCCTCTTCCTCTTCCTGTTTCTTGTTCTTTTTCAGTTCCTCTTCCTCTTCCCTCCCTTCCCTTCCCTTCCTTCTTCCTCTTCCTCTCTCCTCCTCCTCCTCCTCCTCCTCCTCCCTCTCTCCTCCTCCTCTCCTCCTCCTCCTCCTCCTCCTCCTCCTCCTCCTCCTCTCCTCTCCTCCTCTTCCTCTTCCTCCTCCTCCTCCTCCGCTCCTCCTCCTCCTCTTCCTCTTCCCTCCTTCCCTCTTCCTCTTCTTCTTCCTCTTCCTCCTTTCCTCACTCTCCTCCTCCTCTTCCTCCTCCTCCTCTCCTCCTCCTCCTCCTCTCCTCCTCCTCCTCCTCTCCTCCTCCTCCTACTCCTCCTCCTTCCTCCTCCTTCCTCCTCCTCCTCACCCTCCTTCCTTCCTTCTACTTCTCTTCTCCTCCTTTTCCTTCCTTTTCTCTCCTCCTCTCCTCCTCCTCCTCCTCCTCCTCCTCCTCTCCTCCTCCTCCTCCTCCTCCTCCTCCTCCTCCTCCTCCTCCTCCTCCTCCTCCTCCTCCTCCTCCTCCTCCTCCTCCTCCTCTCCTCCTCCTCCTCCTCCCCCTCCTCCTCCTCCTCCTCCTCCCCCTCCTTCCTCCTCCTCCTCCTCCTCTCCTCCCTCCTCCTCCTCCTCCTCCTCCTCCTCCTCCTCCTCCTCCTCCTCCTCCTCCTCCTCCTCTCCTCTCTCCTCCTTATCATCATCATTTTCAATCATTATCTTTTTCTTTTCTTCTCTGCTTTCTCCTAATTAGCATAATGATCAGTTGTAGTACTTCTAGTCTTTGCAAGTTCTCTTTTTCTTATCATTTTTGCACTGTCTTTGTTTAGGAAATGAGATAAGCAAATTAGAATACATATCAAGTTTAAAAGCTATAGATATATGCACAGTAACTCTGAACAACATAGATCAGTTGAGGCAGATTTCTAGATATATCTTACCCTCTTTATGCTGTCTTCAGGAGCATGCTGCCTGATCCTGTCTCGTTCGCTTTCTGCAAGGAACTTTTAGGGTTAGCATAATGTAGGAGAGTCAGATCTTCATTTTCACATCAGGGTTCCCTTTTTTAATTAAAAGAAAAAGAAAGTTTTTGAGGATCTTCAAAAAAAAGTTCCTCGATTGGGCTTTTGTTGTTAACATGTATTCAGTATTTTGAAAATGATATCTGACTTAAAAGACGTGTGGTTTCCCCCCACTTGAATATAGAAGAACCATGCCCCTCCTCCCTTTAGAATGAAAAATAAAGATCATATATGGAACAACCCTGTGAATAAACAATGGCACTTACCCGAACAGAATGTATTTAAAAAGTATTCTTCCCTTCCAGGAGTTCGCCCCCAGATCCTGTATCCTTTGAATTCTGCAATGAACTCTTGGGAGACGGTGTAGGATCTCTCCAGGCAGGGCAACTAGCAGTAGACTCACTCACTGTAGACTCCTTACGCCTACGGCTCAATGACATCGAACACAGCTTACGCGAGGTCACGACGCAGCTCCGAGAGAAACAGAATCTCCTCAACCAGCATGAGACGGAAGTTGTTAATATCAAGACAAATTCTCTGCAAGACAGTAACATTGGCTCAAGGTAGTATTTAGTAGTAACTAATCTTTAATTCAACAGCTTTTATTATGTATACAATTACTGGAAAAGTAGATCATTAGTTCCACACAGTAGATTTTACAAAGATTATACATTTTCTTTTTAATTCACATTTTTGAGATTTGAATAATATCTCACATATA